GGGACCCACGGCTTAAAGTCCCTCCCGGAGGACTTGTTCCCTGAATTTTTTCGCCCTTAAAAATTCGACGACCTCCGCCGGGTATTTGAACCCGCGTACCACGAGTCATGAGGTGGGAACGTTACCTCTAGACTACGGAGGCCGCTTTCATAACCATAACTTAAATATATAATTTGATTGAAACACAATTTTTTCCATATATATACTGAGTATGATTGTTGATTTTCTGTCAGGGGTAACAGATTTCGTTGTATAAATACCTATAGGATAATAGGCTAACGGAGGATAGAACTATCTAAATGATACGCATGCGCGTTGTAACGATAAAGCAGTCACTATATGATTTTCTAATTCATATTTCCTCTTCAGTCCCCGAGCTTGTGAAATTGCTTTTATTGTGCCGTTAAAGATGACAAAATCATGTGTTAATTTCTATAAATATTAATTTATATTTAAACCTACAGAATTATGTTAAATATGCCACGAAAGAGACTTACCTGATTTATTTTCGAAACTTGTCCAAGTCTACATTTCGTGAAATTCAACCCATAGGTTGCATACGGCCACTTTATATATTATCATTGCAATTCTTTGGATAAATATAATTCCATATCTGTTGATAATTTTAATTGAGAGCTATTGAATGTCTTTATTGCCCGAAGTGCTTTGAACATATTTGCGTCTAATCATTCCACTACAAACACAAATCTCTTCTCAGAGGTGGATTCGATATCTAGTAGTTCGTAATAACTTGTTGCATAGGGTGTTCAGTCAAAGAGGAAACTTCGCTACACCGTTGACCGGGCCCACTATTTCTCACAGATTGTTGCTGTAACTGTAACAGCGCACGTTTATAAGCGCTAATGACTCATTCTGCTATCAGCAGTTACAGCAGCAACCTGGGAGGAATGTTGGGCCGGGTTAGCGGTGTTGCGAAGTTTCCTCCTTAATTGAACGCACTGTATATTCTTATACCTGTGTTTAGCTGTGCTTGTGTCAATTCACTGCTTGGCTTCCCCGTGCACATTACACCAAGCATTGTATGCACGTATGCATTGCTTTTCTAAAAATTTAAATGTTATTGTAATATTTTATCAATATTATTAATGAATCATGCATATATTCAATATTTCCAGAATGTTGAAAATGCTGGGAAAATATGTAGTTCTAAGGAACTTCGAATATTTTGACATCACTGAATATTAGATGTCTGCAAAGTAAGAAATAAATTTCCCATTATCGTATTAAATATAGGCCTATAGTATCCATCAAAGGAAATTTCAAATGTGTACATAAGAGATCTTTCGTTATTTTAGTAGATATAATGTGTTGTTGTGACTACGTATGTACGAGTAATTCTATGTGCATTTAGAACTGAAAACCAAAATGTGAAAACAATGTTTCAAGATATACCTCGCACATTATAGAAGGCCAAGGAGTTTTGTTTAACGCGTTTGAAAAGAATTTAAGTAATTTTCGAGTTACAATTAAATTTCCGCATTTTTATCCGGCATACATGCAGATACTGGGCTTAACAAAACAATATATTAAATGTACAACTAATTTTTCATGACAGTATATCTTATCCATTTAATTAATGAAATCCACATTTTGATTTATTGCAGCGATTTGATTGTCTGTATAATTATAGATATTTATTTTTGATTTTCAGTTGTAATTTACATGTTTCTCTTCCTCATGTCGTCCAGATGGCTCTGGGGTCCACCTGCCCTCCTGTCGAACTGATAGAAACAGGATCTGATCTGATCGTTTATCTCCGCTTAATACCGAATTTAAGAATGCATCTGTATTGTCCATACATCTTCTTGGCTTGGTGCTTAAGCAAGCACAGAGACATTTTACCTTCAGTAATTGAAATGTGATTTCACAGTCGCCCACCTGGTGAAAGATAGAAACCTAATTTATTTTAATCGACAATTTCATGAACACAAATATAATTTTATCATAATATATTTTCCTTTTGTCTTATACATCTGTGCAGACTGTAGATTATTTCTTAAAGTCTTTTCTTCATTCATTAAGGTGAAAATATCGTAATATCCCTTTGATAGATACGCTCATTTTGCAGTTTATGAACCACATTTACATTGTATATGCACGATTATTTGGTTAATTAATGAAAATTACCCAGCATTTTATATAATTTATAACAAAGTTATTATACTAATTCAAATATTTGAATATTGTATGATTCCCTTATTATCTTTGAAAGAATGCCTTTGTATGTCTTTGGTGTTTCATAAGTATTTTATGACAAAACAATTCCTTACATTTTATTATATTCTTCTATTTATGAGACAAATTCATAACCTCCTTACTGTTGCATTTTCTTCGTTAATTTCTCATATAAAACTAGAGCTGAAATTTACAATTATGTACATGGCACACATGCTGTATACTTTAATAAAGTACATATAATTCAGTTGAATATTAGATATTATGAAAAATAAAATTCCTCGTTACCAACAAGATAGTATATATTTATTAAGTTCTCGCATTAGTATAACATACCAACAATGGCTGTGTCAAGGTCAGAGATATCATAGTCAAAGATTCTGATTAGCAGAGATTACGTTTCACTGTAATTTTATTCTGGTTCATTGTTTTCATCGAAGATAATATATATTCTATTCTACATTACATGCAGTTCTCTTTGAAGTATTACATCTTGTTTTAAAATGCGAGAGGCCCCTCACCAAAACTCTCTCTTGATGTTTTACAGCTTTGTAATGGCGTTTGTCTGTATAATTTTCGGAACCATAATTTCTCTTAAACTTTACTTTTTTTTTTAGCTTCCAATTAAAATGAGGTTTATTTTATTCAAAGATCATATATATTACAATATTTGCAGATCTACAGATAATTAATATTTTCGTTAATTAAAATGAGAGATGTTTTAACAGCTTTACAACATATAATTTTGAATATTTTGCTTCCTTCTCTTCCCAATGATTTCATGTCATATAAAACTTATTAACCTGAGCTTTCCAATCAAAACTCAGGTTTCCATGACCTGAAATTCTTGTACATGAGTACGGGATACTGGTCCATTTACAGTTCTCGTAAACGAGGGAGAAGCTATGCACTGCCGGTAATGATAAAAGGACAGGGTATATATGAGCTGGGCCGGCAGTGATGAGATTGTGGTTACGCCCTCCAATGTCAATGTTCGTTGCGGCCAGCTTTGCTCAGGTCTGTACAGGACCACACAAAAACATATTGATCCTGAAACAGTTCACTTTACATTGGAGGTGTGTTCGTTTCCAGTAAATTCAGATCCTTTTCCTCACAGCTTTTTACAAAATAAATTAAATATTAAAATCTACAGAACTATAATTTGCCTTTCGTGTTATGTGGGTGTGAAACTTGGTCACTCGCTCTGAAGGAAGGACATAGATTGAACGTGTTTAAGAGTAGCTTGTTCAGGAGAATATATGGGCTTAAGAGAAAATATGTAGCAATGATGGAGAAAATTACCAAAGATGGAGCTCCTCTTCGCCTAATTAAATCAAACGAAGAACAGTGAGACGGTCGGTGTATGTAGCATGCATGGAGCACATTATAAATTCTTCAGAGACTTTTGTTTAAAAATTTCGGGAATCCTAGAAGTAGTTAGGATGATAATATTAAAAATATCATAAATAAATTAGAATATGGTCTGTACACAACTGGCTTGGGTTAATATCAGATGGAAGTTTCTTGCGTACGCAGTAATTAAATTTCTAGTTCCATTAAAGTAGAGAAATTTCGCAGTCAGATGAAGAGTGTGGGCCTGTTAGAAAGGACTTTGCCTTATGGAGTTTGTTAATTAATGGACATTCTCTGTTTCCAAAACTCCGAACTTTATCGACTGTGCCACAGGCCACAAATCCGATGTAACATGGATCTGTAAGAAACTTTCCCTCTCAGATCTTGCTGGTCGAACAAGCTGGCTCGGTCGGTAACGCTTCTGAATCATAAATGGTAGGTGTCGGGTTCGAATCTCCGGCTTGATACAGAATATTCTTACTGTGGTTTTTGGTGATTATTCTCATTTCCTCCAGGTAAATATGGGGATATCTCTCAAATTACTTTCCTTCCATATAATTTTATATTTTCTTCTTTATCTTCATTGCAAGGATTAAAAATTGACGTATCCCAGACTGACTTACGGGTCTCCATTTCTTTCTCTGTCTTCCGAAATCTCTTTTTCTATATACTTTATAAACCATAGCTTATTTAACAAGTCTGATTCTGGTGTTCTCCGAAGACGTTGCTAGTATTCTCTGCATTTTCATTCAGTTAGAAAACTCTCGCAGGAAAACTAACAAACTTGGTGTGTAAAAAATTGTCACGAAAGCCGAAGAAGTGGAAACAGGCTGGTTAAAAATCAGAATCTTCTAAGGAAGGCAATGGCCCAAAAAGAGTTGTTTTGTCTTTGATGGTGATGAGAAAGTTGTCAGTTATCATGAAATCATTCGACGCTAAAACGAGAAAGTTACCAAGAGCGTCCTTAAATAAACTACAAATAAATTAATAAAAAGTGCATTTAAATAATGTCCATGATTGTAAATTTCATCTAGAATTGTAAGATTTGAGGTTTTCACGGCGGTGACTATGAAGAAAGCCGTCCTCTGAAATGTGGCGCCATGTAGAAATTGTGTTAACCGACGTTTCGGAGGAAAGTATTGACTCCATCTTCAGGGTAGAAGACAAGAAGAAATCTTCGAGCGAACCAGCTAGAGCAGGTGCAAGAGTCTGTTGCTCTAGCTGGTTCGCTAGCGGATTTCTTCTTGTCTTCTACCCTGAAGATGGAGTCGATACGTTCCTCCGAAACGTCGGTTAACACGATTTCTACATGGCGCCACATCCCAGAAGACGGCTTTCTTTGTCATCTAGTATTATTTGGGAAGACGCAGCAGTAACGACGTTATGAATACCCCTGCATTATAAATGTCTTTTTCATCTACCTTGCATTGCACTGTATGTTTGGTGTGTAGAATGTCTGTCTTCTTCTTCCGCCTGCACAACCTGCGTCGCGAGGAAGAGAGCAAGAAGCGCAAGAAGGCCAATAGCGGCAGCAGTACAAGCACCGGCGGAGGGATGCAGCAGCGACGCAGCATCAGCTTAGGGCGTCACCGCTACCACAGCGCCCTCACTGTGAAGCCCAGCCGCCTCTTCGAGAGGACGCCGCTCACCCCGTCCGACAGCTTGGATGAAATCGCTCTTCAAATACCCAGGTGCCTCCCCACCTCCCTGGCTTGTTTCTCCCACGCTGATATGGTCGCTTTGTAGAGAATCCACCTTCTGTTTATATCAACGTCGACAGATGTCTCCACTAACATCTGCTCTATACATGGTGTCTCAGGAGGAGAGGTCAATGTTCTGGGAAGTCATAGCACCGGCCATTCTAAGCAAAACAAGTGTATATGTACATGCGCCCTCTTCCGAACGGTTTCCGAGATAGAGCTATTTCACTGTACAGTTCACTGTGTACTGTATACTGAAATAGCTCTATCTCGGTGCAACTCGTGTGAGGACATGGCGAGTTGCACCGAGATAGAGCTGTTTCACTATACAGTATACTATACACTGTACAGATGAGTAACACGCCATGTCCTCACACGAGTTGCACCGAGACAGAGCTATTAAACTGTACAGACGAGCAACACGCCATGTCCTCACACGAGTTGCACCGAGACAGAGCTATTAAACTGTACACTGTACAGACGAGCAACACGCCATGTCCTCAAACGAGTTGCACAGTGAGCTGATGTTAACGGTGGAATTTTCGGAAGTGTATTATACTAGGTAAACTGTACCAGCTTTCTCACTTGAACAATAAATACTCGTATTAGAAACTTTACGTAATATCTCTATAATGAGGAATTTAATAACTTTTACTTTCCTCCAAGTATAATTAGAATGATCAGGTCAAGGAGGATGAGGTGAGGAAGGAATGAAGCACGAAAAGGGGAGAAGAGGAATGCATATAGGATATTGGTGGGAAAGCCTGAAAGGAGACCACTAGGAAGACCAAGGCGAAAGGGGGGAGGACAATATTAAAATGGATCTCAGAGAGATATGGTGGGATGGTATAGATTTGATTGATCTGGCTCGGGATGGGGACCAGTGGAGGGCTCTTGTGAACACGGTAATGAACCTTTGGATTCTATAAAATGCTGGGAGATTCTTGAGTAGCTGCAGAATTGATGGCTTCTCGAGAAGGTCTCATCTCCATGAGTAAGTAAGTAGGTAAATGTAAATATCTCTTTCTTATCAACAGTTTTGAAACTGTACAGTGAAATAACTCTTATCTCGGAAACCTTTCGGATTAGGACACGTGGAACAAATTTGCTTACAATGACCGATACTGTGACCTCCCAGAGTATTGATCTTTCCTTTTGGAAAATTCTGTATATACAGAGATTAATTATGAATACATTATGTATATAATGAAGTATATCTGGTCGATTAGCTGTGTTAATATTGAGTTAGTAGCCGATGTTTCGGAGGCTATTTCCCTTTCCATCATTAGAGGTTAATGTGATGAGTATCGCGTCCGAAGTTTGCATTACGTTGATAACAGAGGCAGATAAATTAAGTACCGTGAAATAGCTCAGTTGGTATGGGGACGAGTTATGGGATGAGCGGCCGGTGTTCGATTCCCGGAAGAGGATAGAGACTTCTGTATATTCCACACATTTCAGACCGCCTCTGCGGCCCACCCAACCTCCTATTCAATGGGTACCGTGGAGGGCCCTTTCCTCGGGGGTGAAGCGGCATATATACGAGTATATGACACATATATCGATACACATAAACCAATGTTCGAGATATTGCACGAAGTTTACACAAGATAGCAGCACATACACCCCCAGTTACGTTATAAATGCGGGATTAGGCATGCCGAACATTCATAATGTCTACATAAACAGAACGATAACAACACCACTACACAGGCAGGTTGAAGGACCTACAGTCGGAAGGGAATACGTGAGTAAGAGGATGTAAATCAAACTATAAAAACAGAAAACATAGCAAAATTAACAATGACAGTAATGTGTTCTTTTCATATGCTAATGACAACTACACCAACATACCTAGGAGATACACAATAACACATAAACACCCATGTCAAAGGGCAAGTAAATATAAAAATGGAGACCTCAAATAATGTTTGGATGAATGGACGACGACCGCAAGCAAAATTTTGACATTTTAAGTAAATTTTAACCATGTATTATTCATTTTAATTAAGGTCAATTTATTTTAAATTATGAGATATCGCATTCACATGTGATATGAGAAGTTGGACATAACATAAGAGTGTAAAAATTTAGCGAATTAGAGACACCTGAAGAAGACGAACATCACTAAGGAACACTTCACATAAAGAAACACCTCGCATCCCACACATAGGCTACTTAACTGCATTCATATCGAAGCAACAAATTGTGTGAGCAAAATTTTTAAAGACATAAAATATTTTATTCGCATTTCACTTAAACCAATTATTTCGTGCGTCATCTATAAACTAACTTGTTCTGTTACTTTAAAGGAGGAAGATAGACTGAGGGTGTTTGAGAACAGGGTGTTCAGGAGAATATTTGGACCGAAGAGAGATGAAGTGACAGGAGGTTGGAGAAAACTGCATAACGAGGAGCTTCATAAATTGTACTCTTCACCAATCATAATTAGAATGATAAAGTCGAGGAAGATAAGGTGGGTAGGGCATGTAGCACGAATGGGGAGAGGAGATGTGCATATAGGATATTGGTGGGAAAGCCGGAAAAAGGAGACCAGTGGGAAGACAAAGGCGTAGATGGGTGGATAATATTAAAATGAATCTAAGAGAGATAGGATGGGCTGGTATGGATTCGATTGGTCTGGATCAGGATGGGGTCAGGTGGAGGGTGAATTTCCCGTTGTAGCATAAGATATATAAGATAAGCATGATCTGCTTTGCAAAAACCTGTACTCGCATGACTTGTATATGGTGCAAAAGAAATCATTTTCAATAACACCTACGCTTGAATAAAGGCCAAGCATGCTCATAAGAGACAAACCCATCTTATCGCCAGAGAGGATGTTAACGTAATACTATGACCGCAAGGGTTCAGTTGAAAAAAATATCTCTGGACGTGAGTCCCAAGGGGCTTGGCGACAAGACGAACTGATCGGCGGTAAATCGCCAATGGTAAAATAACTTTGACTTTGACTTAGTGAGTTGAGAGTGAGTCTGTGAAGAGAGGACTTCAGAGGCAGAGGAATAGCCATTGTTGGAGCCGTTACCAGGAAACGTCTAGTACTATGTACTCTAGTGAACTGTAAAGTATGGAAATAACGATAGTGTTATATTACTGCAGATTTACTCCATTTATTGCAGATATAAACCGAATCATATCTGGGTAAACTGTCTGCAATTTTAGATTTCAAAACGGGGACTCTCGGATACGAAATGACATCGCTATCAGGTCATTGTCCGTGTTCTAGCCAAATTTTAGGAGGAATATTTGCCAAGTTTCACCAGAAACTTGCTCTTTTACAGAGGTGCGAGGGCGTGACGAACATGAATCTGATAAGGACTTCATTTTGGAAAATTTCTTCGTTACGGGGGGAGAGATTGTTCTTGCAGTCGATTTATTGCCGACATCATGTAATCATAAAATGAACAGTCCAGCAAATATGTGAAGTCTGTAGGGAGAACAGAGATTTAGCACGTTTTAGGACGCCATTACTTGAGAGAGATGTAACCATGGGGACCAGGATATGCCCGGAGAAAGATCGGCGTAAACTTCCCATGGGAAGTTTTTTATTGCCATCTGCTTCAACAGAGGCCGAGTTTATTTTAGAAAAAGATAAGATTTTCTTCAAGGAAGAAGCTTAGTTTTACGATGCGATGCTTTTAGGCGTACCTATGAATGGAAGAAGACAGGCAAAATCGTTCTGATTGTATCGCCTTGTTTTGTTTTTCTGTACACAACCCAAAGAAAAGCTCAGAAAACAATAATTCAGTGTTATATATAAGTACTACATATGTGAATACAAGTGTAGGTAGAGTTTCAAGGTTAGGTAAACTTAATAGACAACTGATAAGCGCTGTAATATTATGAGCATAAATATTATTAATACTTATTTATTTCTGAGATAAAATGCCGTGTAATTCGTTGAAATTCTACCGATGTTTCGGAGGAATATGAAGTCTCCATCTTCAAGATAGAGGCATAAATCAGTTAGCCAGCATTAAGATCTGCTTCCTGTCTCCTTCATACCGATTTCTTTCTCCAATTGTTTTTCGGTTCCAGAGATGAAGACGACATGTTCCTTCGAAACCTCCTTTGACTTTCAATGGACAACACAGCGTTATGTCCCAGAAGATAGGACTTTTTATGAATAGAATATTTTTAAGAATTACGGCAAATATGACGGCTTTCTTCAGTGTCCTGAAATTCTGTTATTAATTATAATTAAGTTTTGAGAAAATTGACCCGTTTTTATTTCAGGGGTCGGTGGAATTTGCCGCCGAATGCGGTAGCCTTTAGGCTGAATTCGACCTTGTCTGTAGAGATTAAGGCTATTAAGAAGAAATGAAAATTCTGGCGTAAGAGGTGTTCTCTTTTAACGTCGTTTACAAACACGTGTAATGTAGAAGTAGCGAGTAAGTCCACAATAAATAACACGAAATCGCCTTCTACGATTTCATCGTTTTCCGTTTATTTAAAATAAGTCGCTGTTGAACAAAAAAGTTTTGAGTTTCTGACTGTGAGGAACGTTCCTACCGCCACCTCCTGGAACTGGGTCACGCTGAAGAAAGCCGCCATTGCTACCGTAATTTTTCAAAATATTTTAGTGATGAAAAGTCATATATTCTGGGATATGGTGCTAGTGTCCGTTGAAAGTCAACTGTCGTTTCGGAGGAGCATTCCGCCTCCTTCGGGGTTAAAACCCAGATCAAGCAAGAAACAAGTACGAAACGCGTAGGAAACATAAGTCTAAAGATGGAAGCAAAATGTTTCCCCGAAATTTAAGTTAAATTTCACAATTTTTATCTTAGATTAGATCCTTCATAGTCACTGCTATGAGAATCTAAAATTCTATAAATGATACGTTTTGGGAATGTGTTTCTCGCAGCGGTGACTGTGAAGATTGCGTTCTTCTGGGTTGTAACAGGCACGACGTTTCGAAGGGAAATTCTCCATCTTAAGGCTCAGAGAACCAGAATTTGTCCCTTATATTT